TGGGCGTCCATCCACGTCCTTCCCCTGCCTTCGGGGGGAGATCGGAGCGGGGGGCTCGCTGGCAGCACGGCTGTGTCCGCAGCACAGCGGTTTGGGTTTGTGTTTTGATGGGATTTGGGGGGGTGGGGCCCAGCCAGGGCAGTTCGGGCACTGAGCCATGTATTCCCTCTACAGATTTTGCTGGAAACGCCTGGGTTTGAGGGCAGTAAAATCAGTCTCATTCTGGGCGAGATGAGGTTGCACTGACTCATGGCAGGGTGTCAGGAGCGTGACTCAGGACTCCTCTGGGGAATGCAGGAGTTAAATCTTTTCAGAGCTGTGACTTCACAGTGTGATGCTTTCTAAGGACCCAGAGCTTGCAGGTCACTGAGCTCCAGTGAACTCTGTTCCATTTCCCCAGTGGGAATGGGATTTTTTTGTCTTAGCCTGGAATAGCAGACCTGCAGAATGGCCTGTTCTCTTTACCCTTCTTGAGGGAGAGAAAGGTTGAGTTTGGGATTCATGAATTGGTGGCTGCTGTTGCAGGAGCAGCTTGCAGGTTCCTCCCAGCCTGTGATGTGAGCCTTTGAAACTCTGGGTGTCAGGAGTGCATGGAACAGCCCTGGAAGGAGAGGAGACTGCTCCAAAAACAGAGACCTGCAGCTCCCTCAGGCTCACGGTGCTGGTGGAGCAGGGACTGTGGGCTGCAGGTGCCCGCGGGAGGTGGATCCTCCCCTGGTGACTCACTGGCATGCTGCAGTGTGTGCCAAGTGTCCCCAGCACCATCCATAACCCTGCCCTGAGCATTATCCTGCCCCTGCATGCTCCCAGCCTGCCCTCGTCGGGCACGGTGCCCACGGGATGAGGCAGAGAAGGAGCAGGAGGCACTGGGGGAGAGCGTGCAGGCTGCAGGGGCTGGGTTTGTCATCCTCAGGGGTGGAAGGAGAGCACGGAGAGCTCCTAACCCCACTGTGCTTGTCACTCCAAGACAGGACAAAGCAGGGAAAGGGAATTAGCTGAGGCAGTCCAGGGATTAATTTGTCAAAGGTGACTGCAGTGGCAAATCTTAAAAAACTGAGCCCAAAACGAAGCTGCAGGAGTGCTGGGACAGCCTTCTCAGGGAACCAGCCACGCCAGGCTCTGCAGAAACTTGCTGCAGGCCAGTCCCAAGGGAGCTGAGAGCCCAGCCTGGCAGCAGTGAAGCTGGTCCTGGTCTCTCACCAGCTGTGCTCCACAGCCCTGGGCTGGGCCCCCAACTCGTGGCACTTCCCTAGCTGATTTGAGCTCACTGAAATGGTGCTTTGGAAGGTGGGGGTTTTGTGGCGAGGTCACCTCGACAGCACCAAGGGCTGTGATGAGGAGCAGGGGAAGGGCCCAAACCTCCTCTAACTGCCCCCTGAACAGCTCCATTTCTGCCCCCAGAGAGGAAGCGCTTTTACCAGCACGTGAGCATCTCACAGGGAGAGGGTGAGTCTGGCTGTGGGACACCACGGGGGGCTGGTCCCTGGGAGGGTTGTTATCACCCCGTGGATCTGTGAGGGAAACAGCTTCCAAGACTGTTTTGGGGAAAAGTGTGTCAGAGGGATGGGGGTGGTGGGCAACTTGGGTGCCCCTGGTCCTGCGCTCCCATCCGCTGCAGCTCTGAACCTGCTCCTCCCGTGGGGTTGTCTGTTGTTCCTTAGTGCCTGCTCCTCTTTGATTCCCCAGGATTTCTACTCTGATTCCCCAGGAGGCTTTGAAATAAACCTGGACCACCGAAAGCTGAAAACCCCCCAGGCCAGGCTCTTCACCGTGCCCAGCGAGGCCTTGGCCATCGCAGTGGCAACAGAGTGGGACTCCCAGAGAGACACCATCAAGTTCTACACCATGCATCTGGTGAGCACGTTGGGATTAAAGACAGGGAATCTAATAGTGGGGGCTAAAAATGGCTTTGCCAGACCAGGGCTACCTGGTGAGGGCTTTGCCAGCTGGCAGAATGGATTCCAGAGCGAGGGTTGAGAACTGCTCTGGGGGTCTAAGCCTTGTGCTGGGCTACGTGAGGTGGAGACATCTGAGGATGCTTCCTCCTGCCTCACCCAGCTCTCCTGAGTGCTTGCAGTAGAATTGGCATGGCTTGGTCTAAACGTGTGGGCATGAGAATGGTCTCCAAGCACAGAACGTGGAGAGAGCAGGTTGTCCTGATGCCTGGGGAAGCAGGGACAAGAGGTGGGGGCTTTGGCTGGGCCCTGGGTGAACCTTGGAGTTGTGAGTGCAGTTAGATACTGGCTGGGTGACTGTCTAGGGGGGGTCTGTGTCACTGGAGACTTGAGAAGGGTCTGGACAGTGCTATTTGAGATAGTGAGGGGCAGAAGGAGCTCTGGAGCAGGCCATGAGTCCTCTTCCCTGGTGCTTGATGGGGCTGCTCCAAAGGCTTTTAAAGACAGTAAGATTACTATTACTGTAGAATCATAGAAACATAGACTGGTTTGGGTTGGAAGGGACATTTAAAGGTCATGTAGTCCAACCCCCTGTCATGCTTTAGGGTCAGGGCTGCCCCTAGACCTGTAACAGACACTCTCTGTTCACCCCTCTCCCCCACAAGGGGGAAGAGAGAGGGAATAAGGGGGAAGAGAGAGGGAATAAGGGAAAGTGACTTCAGCTTTATACTGAATACGAGGGTTATGGGATGGAACACCCCACTGGCCAGTTTAGGGTCACTTGTCTTGTCTGCTCCTCCCTGCAGGTGTAGCCTTTACCTCTGCCCCCCTCTGTGTGGTGCACAGGACTCAGCGGTGACCTTGGTCTGCACCCCAACCTTGGTGGTGACTCTAAACACAGATGGTTATCACTGCTGGAAGCAGACACTGCCTGTGAAACTGTGCTGTGAACTTCAGACAGTGCAGCTGGTTAGCAGAGCTTTAGCTGAAAAGCAAAATCACTGAACAGAATTAGCTCTGCTCTACCCCAAACCAGGACACCCCCCTGCAGGGAGCAGGGACATCCCCAACGAGAGCAGGGTGCTCAGAGACACCTCCAACCTCCCCTGGGATGGTTCCAGGGATGGGGCAGCGACCACCTCTCTGGGCAACCTGGGCCAGGGGCTCACCACCCTCAGTGTAAAGAATTTCTCCCTTCTCTCTAGTCTAAATCTCCCTCTTTTAGTTCCAAACCCTCCCCCCTTGCCCTGCTGCGACAGGCCCTGCTCAAAAATCCGTCCCCAGCTTTCCGACAGGCCCCCTTGTGTGAGCTATATTCTGATGCTGCAGCCCTATTTAGCTGCACCTTTTGGTTCTCTGCCTGCCACAAATCCCTGTACTTCTCCTAACCTTGAGCAGCAGGGGTTTAAACTGCCTTTATCCCCAGACCACACTCTGCAACACGGCGCTGGACAACCCCACGCAGCGGAACAAGGCGCAGCTCATCCGGGCGGCCGTCAAGTTTCTGGACACTGACACTATCTGGTAGGAGGTGGGGGCTCTGCTGCCACAGTGTGCTTTTTTTTTTTTTGGAAGGGGGAAGTGAGGGAAAATTTCCACCCTAACCCCCAGTCATGGCAGGGCTCTGATCTGTCCTGGTTTTGGCAGAAGGGTTTGAGTTCGTTTTAAGCCAGCCCTGCGTCCGTAGCCCACACGCCCAGAGGATGTAGGTGTGAGTGAGAATGGGGATCTGGTCCTCTCTTGGACTCTGGTTTGGACACCTCCGTGCTGGGCAAGGGTGGGAGCAGCAGGAGATGGCAATCTCCTCAGGGAAAACACCTTTGAAAGACCTGGAGGAATCTGTCAGCCCAGTCCCTGATACTCCCGGGCCAGTACAGGCACCTCAGGTTACTTGTACCAGTAGCCCTTCATTCCTCAAAGTGCCTGTGGGCTGCAGGATCCAGCCTGCTCATGCCAGGGCTCCTGTCTCACAGTCCCAGCCTCTGAGGTGTCCACTGGCAGCTGCTCAGCTCCTGTGGGGAGCAGGAAGCAACCAGCAGGTTGGGCTGGCAGCAGGGAGTGCCAGTGGAAAGGGAGGAAGGATTCCAGTGGGACGTGTCCCCTGCTCTGACTGTTAAACCTTGCTGTGTCCCATGCCTGGCTTGGGGCTATCTGCAGTTTTTTGCTGGACAATTTGGTGCTCTGGTTTGTAGTAGGATAGAACTGATCTTCCTGGAACATAGAAAAGCTCTGAGTTTGGGGAAGAGAAATATAAGGAAGGAATTTTGGATGCTGAGGGTGGTGAGCCCCTGGCCCAGGCTGCCCAGAGAGGTGGTCACTGCCCCATCCCTGGAACCATCCCAGGTGAGGTTGGAGGTGTCTCTGAGCACCCTGCTCTAGCTGCAGATGTCCCTGTCCCTGCAGGGGGTTGGATGAGATGACCTTGAAAGGTCCCTTCCAACCCAAACCAGTCTGTGATTCTAACAGGGGGGTGGTTGTTTCCACTCTCTGCTGCCACTGCCTAGGTGAACAGTAGGCCCTTGCTCCCCTTGCTGTGGCCTGGTGGGGGACAGCTCCCTTCCCAGAGGGGTGCCCCAGCAGTCTGGCAGCCTGGGAGGGAACACCCAGTGTGGTTTTGTTGTGTGATGTCCCAGCTATCGTGTGGAGGAGCCAGCTGCCTTGGCAGAGCTGCAGAAGAACGAGTGGGATCCTCTTGTCTCCTGGGCTGAGAAAAGGTAAGAGGTCAAGGGCCTTTCTGTCAGCTTATGCCCTGCCCTGCTGAGGCCAGGAGCTCTGGTGCCTGTGACTGTCAGAGCCACAAGATCCACGAGCCCTGTGCTCTTCTAAGGGGCTGGGTGATCGTTTTAGGTACAACGTGGCAATTGGCTCCTCCACCAGCATCCTGGGGCCAAACATCCCAGCCAGCACCAAGGAGACCTTCATCAGCCATCTGGCATCCTACAACATGTGGGCCCTGCAAGGTGAGAGAGGCTGTGCTGGGAGCCCTCTGCTCAGGCTCTGCCAGGGGAGGGGGCAGCTCCTTTCCATGGCAGAGAAGAGCCACTGAAATCTTTTTCCTCTCCTGCTGAGATAATGGGAGTGTTGAGGTTTATGTTTGAAATCTTCAAGCCCAGTCCCTTATTTGTTACAGGTAGTGCCACTAGTGTTTGGGGTCTAGCTGTGCTGGCCTGGGAGCTGTTTGCTCTAGCCTAGAAGTTACAATAAATTCTTTATTGCCAAACCATCTAATGACTTAGACCCCAGCTTTGCTGCCAGGAAAAGAAATGGGGTTTAGTGCTCCAAGTGCCTGTGGTTCTGTGCACTGTCCTCCCTCTTTCACCCTTAAAACCCACTTGATCTTACCTGATGCTGCTGAGGACAACTAACGTTAAAGAAGTGATGTAATGTTTGCTTTGCTCAAGTCCTCAAAGGCAGGACATGAAGGAGCAGCAGACAGTGAAACCCACCAGAGACACTGGCTTTGCAGCTAAGGGAAGTTGAGGGTGTTGCTTCTTGGGACAGGGCTTGCAAAGCCTTTCCATTTCTCCTGTAAAGGCAGTCTCTGATGAATCAGCTCTTTGCAGTATGGGCAGGCAGGGTGGAAGGGAAAGACACGTGCCTCCCCTGGGGAAGGGGAAGCCTCTGGGCAGCTGCTCAACTTTAGGTGTGAAATCCAAGGTCTGGCCTGGGCTGGTAACACAAATCAAGTCTGACTTTAGAGCCTGTCTGTGTGTGGGCACCTCTGTTTCTATCAACTTGAGCTGAACAGTGCGTGCTCAGCAGAGTTTAGAGCCTTTCCTTTCTCCTCCTCCTCCTCCTGGCTGTGCCTGACTGTGGGATTTGCTCAGGTCCCTTGGCTCTCAGGCACTCATCCCCTCTCCAGGGGAGGGGTGTCTTGCAACCTGGGTGCTGGTGGTAGTTCTCCCGGGGCACAGCACATCACAGATGTTTGCACACTGGTTTGCCAGGACTGGTTAAGGATGGGCTGCCCCCCCAGCAGTGTGGGCAGCAGGGCAGGGAGGGGATCCTGCCCCTCTGCCAGCTCTGGGGAGACCCCCCTGCAGTGCGGGGGCAGCTCTGGAGTCCTCAGCACAGCAGAGCCAGGGCCCTGCTGGAGCGGGGCCAGAGGAGCCCCAGCAATGCCCTGAGGGGGGAACCCCTCTGCTGGGAGCCCAGCCGGAGAGAGTTGGGCTGGGGCAGCTGAGAGGAGAAGGCTCCAGCGGGGGAGACCTGCTGGGGGCTGCCAGGACTGCCAGGGGCCTGCCAGAAAGCTGGGGATGGACTTTTTATCAGGGTCTGTTGGGACAGGACAAGAGGTGATGGTTTGAATCTAAAAGAGGGAGATTCAGACTAGAGAAAAGGAAGAAATGTTTGACCCTGAGGGTGGTGAGCCCCTGGCCCAGGCTGCCCAGAGAGGTGGTCACTGCCCCATCCCTGGCACCATCCCAGGGGAGGTTGGAGGTGTCTCTGAGCACCCTGCTCTAGCTGCAGATGTCCCTGCTCCCTGCAGGGGGGTTGGACTGGATGACTTTAAAAGGTCCCTTCCAACCCAAACCAGTCTGTGATTCTACATGGGCAGCTCTTTTGGCACTAAACTATATATGAGTCCCTCTCACCCTGGACTTTCAGCTTAGCTCCAGCATCCCCTGGCCTCGATGGTTATCTCTTCCCTTGGCACAGGGAAGGTTTGTGGCAGAATAAAGGGGAGGCTGTTTCCAAGGTGTAGCCATTGTCACTGCAGTGGCAGTGGCCAGGACAGGGCTTGGTTGGTGTCTGCTGTGACACTGGAGTGCCCAGAGGCAGGCGGGGGAGGATCCTTGGCCCAGTGACCACCCTGACTGTCTCTTCAGGGTGTGTGGAGCTGCTGCTGTAATGCTGCAGAAAACAACCATGACTCTTGTTTGTTTTGGGTTCTTCCCTTCCAGGTATAGAATTTGTAATCACCCAGCTGAAATCTCTGATTCTGTCCATGGCTCTGATTGACAGGCAGGTTACAGTAGAGAAAGCTGTGCTCCTGTCTCGCCTGGAGGAGGAATACCAGGTAAATCATGTTCCAAAACAGCCCTGTAATTCAAATAGCAATAATCTCAGCATGACAAATCCATCTCCCACCACAAATAACTGGCAAGGGAAGTGCTTGCTATTGCAGGAGAGGTTCCACCCCACCCCTCTCCCTGTTTGAGGTGTGCTGCTGTAGAGCAACGCTGTGGGCACAATAGCCCAGGGTGCTCCCAGGGCTGCCAGTTTCTTTTTGTAGAACCCAGATGGCTGCTCTTCTCCCTTTCTAATTGTGTGTATAAAGTTGTGGCTGGTTTCTCTTGCTGTAGGTTATCCAGGGGGTTGGACTAGATGATCTTTTGAGGTCCCTTCCAAGCCTTAACATTCTGTGAATCTCTGAATCCAGCCTGAAGGCCTTGGTAGACACCAAGCTAATAACTTGCTTGCTGAAAAGTGGCCTGGTGTGAAGCTCTCCCTGACCCCAAAACTGGCTGGTGGTGATGGGAATCTTTCCATCCTCCCTTTCAGGGGCTTTGCCTCAGAGCCAGGTACAGAAGGAGCACGTCCTCCCACCAGACTCATCGGGAGTTCTCCCTGCCCCAGCGCTCGGCCATCAGCACAGCTCCTGGGGGGTGACCTGTGTTTCACACACACGGACAGGGAGGCTGGGAGTTGCTGAGCAGCTGTAGGTACAATCCAACCCTGCACTGACTCGAGTTCCTCCTCTCCTCCAGATCCAGAGGTGGGGCAACGTGGAGTGGGCCCACGACTACGACCTGTGCGAGCCGCGGGCAAAGCTCTTCGTCCACCTCTGCTCAGAGAGCTCCACTGTGAAACACAAACTGCTGCAGGACTGAGGCTCCCAGGCTGGGCACAGGAGGAGGACGCCTGGCTGGGAGGTCCTGGCAGGACCCAGGGGGGACCTTGCCACCGTCCTGCCCCCCCACGTCTTTCCTGGGATCGGCCTCGTGTTGAGGAGCTGTGGATTTGTGGGCAACTCCTCGCTCGGACTGCCTGCTGCAGTGCAGCACCAGCAGCTCGGAGCCCACGAGGGAGAGAGGTCAAGGTGAGCTTCCTCTGCATCCCCAGACAGCAGCTCTGGCCATTACCAGTGTCTGCAGCTCGTCGGAGGAGCTCCCACGAAAGAAGCAGCTTCCTGGGCAGGGCACGGCACAGACATCCCCAGCATATGCCACGTGTCTGCAGAGCTGCCAGCTCCTGACACACACTTGTTATGGAAATCTGAAAACAGATTCCATTGCATCTGTTCTTCATCCCTCCGTGTGCCTGGATGTAACACCAGGGTGTCTCTGTTTGATTAAAGGCACGCCCCTGCTAGATACCGAAAGCTGATGCTGCAGAGTTTTTCTTGGGTTTAATCACCAAAACTGGTGTGGGTCCTGAGCTGCCAGGCTCCAGGCAGGTGCTGGGAGGGCTGCAGGCAGAAAAAAAAACACTGAGAAGAGCAGTGCAGGCACTAACTACTAAAGAAATCTGCTCCCTCCACATCTCTGTGTGAGCCTGGCCATGCTCGGTGCCTTGTAAGACGTGTAGGAGCAGCAGGGAGCCAACTGTGTCTGAGCAAGAGGCGGGGGGAAGCTGGGCTCCTGCCACCCTGGAAAGCACAGGGTGCCATGAGCTAAGCCTGTGTGTGACAGGCAGCAGCAGCCACGGGGCTTTTGGAGAGACCTGCTCTCTCCTCGGGAGTGCACACGCAGCCACCTTCTCGCTTAACCTTCCCACCTTTCTCCTGGCTGCTGGCCTGAAGCAGAGCTGCCCCAACCAGCCTCCTGCCTCAGCAGCTGCCCACGAGCGAGCTGCTGGCCCCGGGTGAGGAGGGGGTGGGGAGTCCTGGCCCGGCCGTGGCGAGCAGCGCTGGGAGAGCTCCTGCGGAACCGCCCCTCTCCCTCCCGCCAGCCGGGGGCTGCTCTGTTCACGCTGCAGAAAGCTGCTGTGGTGAGAGGCGGTGCAAAGAGAAGGCTCCCGGGCACGCAGAGCTCCCGCCAGCCTTGTGCTCGCTGAGCTGGAAACCTGCTGGTGTCCTGGGGGTGGTTTGATGGAGAGCAGCTCCTCTCCCGGGCTGCTGCTGCCCGCCCGTGGCTCCCCGGCCCCTGGGGCTCCGGCCCGCAGGTACCGAAGCTTTCAGGCATGAGATGCTGCCATGATTTGGTTCAATGGGCTCAGAGCTGATCCACAGCCCCTGGTGAGCAGGTCTGAGCTCTGTCTGTGCAGCCTGTGTGCCAGTGTGATGGAAGAGACAGAGCTTCGTGTGCTCCTCCAGAGTCAAGAAGGATCTTTTATTTGCGGTTTGTGCTGGGGTGGCAGAAGTGTGTCTTTGGCCTGAAATGTCCCAGGCAGCTGGGGCTTGGAGAGGCAGTTGTCCCTGCTGGGGGCTGCCCTGTGTGCTCCCAGCTAAGGCCCAGCTCACAGCAGACCTGCTGCATTGTCTCCAAGTTCTCTTAAGTTATCCAGCTCCTCCTGGAGGTTGTCGATGTACTGAACGATCTCCCTGACACGTTCGCGGTTTCTGTCGACCTCCTCTTGGAAAGCCTGAACAGATGGAGACCAAGAGGTGAATCTGCAGGTTTCTCAGGGTCCCTTCACAGAATCCCAGCACAGCAGGGGTTGGAAGGTTCCTCTGGAGATCATCTCCTCCACCCCCCCTGCTCCAGCAGCTCACCCACAGCAGGGTGCCCAGGGTCACAGCCAGGTGGGTTTGGAATCTCTCCAGAGCAGGAGACTCCACAGCCTCTCTGGGCAGCTGCTCCAGGCTCAGCCACCCTCACACCAAAGAACACTCCTTATCAGGGTCTCTGCAGCACAGAGAGCTCCAGCAAAGCATCTTTCCTGGCAGCGTCCTCACTGCTCAGGCCGGACCTGTGTGTGCCCTGAGCACCAGGGTCTCCTACCTGCTCTGTCACAGAGGCCTGCCAGCGGTAGGTGCTGCAGAGGATGTCACTCTCCCTCAGGTTGATCTTCAGCAGGCGGATGTGATGGGAGGCGTTGAGGGTGTTGACAAGGGAGGGTTTGTCCATGAGAAGCTAGGAGGGAACGTGAGCAGATGAGAGGAGGAAGGGGGTGGGTGCCCAGTGAAAGTGTCAGAGCTCGGGAGGAGCAGCAGAGTCGCTGCAGTGCCTGGGGGAGGAAAATCAGCCCCCACTTCCAGGGGGGCAAAGCCCTTGTCAGCTGGAGGGTGGTGAGCCCCTGGCCCAGGCTGCCCAGAGAGGTGGTCGCTGCCCAATCCCTGGAACCATCCCAGGGGAGGTTGGAGGTGTCTCTGAGCACCCTGCTCTAGCTGCAGATGTCCCTGCTCCCTGCAGGGGGGTTGGACTAGGTGACCTTTACAGGTCCCTTCCCACCCAAACCAGTCTGTGATTCCATGAGTGCTCTGCTGTGGGCAGAGCTGCCTGGCAGCTCATGGCAGCCCCTGTGGGCAGCTGGGGTTGAACCAAGGCTGGGACTGCTCCAGGGCCTGGCCCTGCGGGTGCGGGAACTGGAAAACCACACCCTGGAAGAGTCTCTTGCACTGGTGGCACTGGCTGTAAATTTTTATTTTTTTTGGAGAGTCCCAGCTTCTAATCGAAGCAGCGACTTCCCCCATGGCTCTTAGTCGAGGGTGGTTTCACTAAACTGTGTCTCCTCCTGCAGCCAAGTGCAGCTGGTGAACAAATGAGGATTGCTTCTCCATGGAAATGGATGGCAGCCGTGGATGAGCAGCAACGGTGTGGAACTGGAGCCATCTGCACAGGCCATAAAGCAGGGAGCTCCCCCAGGGGCCAAGGGGTCTGTTCTGTGTCTGTCAGCTCTCCATTACCTGGAGTAATGGGGAGGGGGGGGGGCTGGGATAATCTGGACAGAGTAAAACCACAGCAGATGCAAAGCTCGAGTCACTTAGCCACTAAATGAAGGAATAACAGAGGCAAAAAGGTCAGCAGCAGGGCTGGCTGGAGCAGGGCAACGATCTTTGTGCCTTCTGAAAGGCTCCTGGGATCTTTGCTATCACAGCAAGGCTCTGTTTGAAATGTCATGTCCTGCCTCCAGGTCATCTCACGGGCTGGGGAGCTCCAGGAAGGGCTTTTGAAACGACTGAGGCCAACAGAGCCCCAGTGCATGGAAGTGGGGGCAGTGGTGGGGTTCTCCTGGGGGAGAAGGGAGAATCTAAACAAAACCAGCTGGGAGTGCAGCAAAGATGCTGCCTGAGTGCCTGCTGGGTTGGGGCTGTCTGGAAATCAGCCAGAGAAGTGAGTTGTGCTGGAGGCAGGAGGGAGAGATTTCCTCAGCACCTCTCCTCTTGGACTGCTGCCACCAGCCCTGGCAGTGCAGTCACCCTCTGTCCTAGTCAGTGGAGATGTCCAATGGCACTGCAAGGGGCTGGGGCCTCCTGGGAGGAGGTTTTGCTCTGGTTTAGCCATGGCTTTAGCTGTACTGACCTCCTGGAAACCCTGTCCCTTCTAGGAGGCTGTGGCCTCCTCTTCTTACCAACTCCCCAACAGAGATGAGTATTTTGGTGCCCTCACCATTCGCACATCATCTGGCAGATCCTCGTGGAGCTCATTCTTGAGCAGCTTCTCCAGTGTGTTGATGGAGATCTCCAGCAGCTTCTCGTGGTGACGGTTTTCCAGGTCCCGGCACTGGGTCATTGTGCAGCAGATGGTTAAGGAAAAAGCTGAGCCCAGCACTCACCTGGAGAGACTAAATAACCTCCTCTACCAAGAGCCTGAATGTTCCCACAGTGGGCTGCTGCCAGAAGCTGCTGTGATGTCCAGACACCTTCTGCTCTTAATGGCACACTGGGTCTCATCCTCACTGCTGTATATTCTGCAGAACTGAGAGCAAGCCTAGATTTGCAAAGGAAATTGAGGGAGACCTCCCAGGATATGAGCTAGGCTCTGAATTTGGTGCAGTTGTTTGCACCAGACTGACAGATTTCTGTATTTAAAGCAGTGTAGCCTGTCACTGAAGCACTTGGGTAGCCTCAGCTCAGAACTGCAGGTGTTTCATTGGCTGCTACGGCAAGAATGTGCATAGAAAAGTCTAACCAGATCTTCCCAGGGTTGTGTCATGGCTGTGTGGAGAAGAAAGGAAGATTCCCAAGGTGGAGAAAGCTGCATGCACCCTGCAGATCAAGAGCAGGAGAACTTACACCTTTTCATGCTCCCCAGAGTCTCCACAGAAAGAAGCTGGGCACCTTCAGTGGCCATTCCTGCAAAGCTGGGAAAAGACCTTTTCTGTGAATTTGGGAGGGGGGAAATAAATCAAATTCAATGCTGATGGCTCATTTCTGGATTTAGAGGTGAGACACATGCACATCTCTGGGAGGACCAGCCCAACACACTGTCCAAAGGATATATCCCTTTAACGTCCTCGATGAATGTCGATGCTATGGCAGCAATGTTGCTTTCAAAATCCTTTAGCAGTTCCTTAACAGGGGGAAAAAGAAGAAATATTACAAGGAAAACTTACTAAACTCAAAAGGGAGTCAAGGAGTCTAGGCAGAATCTACAACTGATTATCCTCTGGACTCTCTGCTGTTATTAGCACAGTCAGAAACTGCACTGCCTCAAGCATTTAAAGTGTTTTGAAAGTGCTGCAAGATTTTTGTTCCTCCTTCAGGGACAGGGAATCAGTTTATGGGAGGGAAGTTGACTGACTGATGCCTTCACTTGGTGTCTGGAACAAGCCAGCTGGTGTTTTTCTACCCTCACCTAAGTTACCTATGGGGAGTGCAGTATTCCCCTACACTGCCATACTGCAGCTTCCTTGCAGGTATGAAGAGCCTCTTGGAAGCAGAACCAAGACCTGGGCTTGCTGCAGCTCTTGGTTTAGCCCTCAGAAATTAAAACTGCTGCTGCCTATTGCCTCTCTCAAAAATGGCTGATGGAGAATCTGTGAAGAGCTGCACTTAAATGTCTTGAATACAGCCACTCAAAGAGAGAAAATGCTTCTGCATCTCACCCAGGGAGAAATGCTTCTGCTCATTCCACCAGGGACTGCAGGCACGTGAGGACCACTTCAGAAAGCACCAAAAGGCACAACCCTGGTGCAGTGAGGAGTTCATTTGGAGCTGCTGCTTTCTGTCACACGCATCCACAAAAGCAAACTGCTGCATCTGCTTGCACACAGGCCACAGCTCCTGCCTGCTCATTTTTAAACAGATTACCTTCTTTTTTTTTAAATGGAGATGCACATTAGCAGCCCTGCCCTAATTTTTGAGGAGAAGTCTGGGGAGAAGAAAGGCAGCTATTACACAGGCAAATGTGGTGAGCTGAGCAGGCATGTGAAAAAGTGTCATCTGATTCACAGGAAAGATCAGCTTCAAAGAATGACACCTCTAGAATTCCAAACAGCCTACCCCATGCTGTGCAGTGACTTCTGCACAGACCTAAAAAATGACTGAATGACCCCAAGTCCCTCTCTCTAAATCTAGGAAATCAGCTTGGATAGAGGTGAAGGACATCCTGTGCTCTGCTCTGCTCTGAGAAACAGAATTCTGCTGCAATGGATCAATGTCCAGGGCCTGATCTCCCCCAAATCAGCTCCGAGCAGAGAAAGAATAAGATGGAGACAGAAGAGCCTGACTGGAAGACCCATGCCCCTTTCCTTGTGCAATGGGGTGCTACAGAGAGGTCCAACAACAGAAAAATGACTCCCTACCTTCTGGATGTGAGGTCTCACAGGTATGTGCTTGACCCTTACCTCCACCTGGTCAGCCACCAGCATTTCCAAGGTCATGAGTGCTTCTGACAGCTGAAGTATGTCCTGCTGGTACTCAGCTTGTTTAGACTCAGCAATATCCTTACTACTGGCATTATGAATCTCATCCAGCATCTAAACACACAGAGAGAGAGACATAAATTACTTCTAGTTTGTGTTCAGCACTCCATTGCAATTTAATTAACTCGTTACATGTGTGAGGAAAGTTCCTGCTGCTGCTGAGCTGAAATGAAATGTGATGATTCAGGAAGTCTCCAGATTTACATACTGGGGAGTCAACAGTGCTGAGGTTTGCTGCTGTGCTCACCACTGGAGTTGGTGACAACGCTTCCTCAGCCTCCAGTCAGCAGAAGACTTTGTCCCTTCCATGCTTCCAACTTTGCTTCCCCTCCTGACACATTCCAAGTAAAACAAAATATTAGATTCTTGACATTGCTGGCCGTGAAAAAGAGAGTAATAATTATTCTGTAGAAAGAAACACAGGCCTAAATCCTGGTCCCCTTCGTGTCAAAGAGAATCTTGACTGACTTCCATAAGGTCAAGATTTAGTATTTGGAATATGGAATACCTATCATTGCCTACCCTCCTCTTAGGGGAAGGATTAATTGCCCTTCAGAATTAAATATTGACATTGGTTTTGTATCAGATGACTTAGGGATTCTCAGATGAAAAAAAAATATCCTCTTGTGCTGAGCAATGTGTGCTTTTCAAGTCTGTTCAAAATAAGTTAACCATCAAACCTTAATAGGAGGGGAAAAAATGACATGTTTTGAGACATCTAATCCACTCCTGAGAGGGAGAGGAATGGGCTAAAATAAAGAATTTGGACAAAAATCATTGCTAAGGCTCCTGTCTGAAAACAGACTTGATTACCCAAACTTTGTGGTGTTAAAGGGGGGAGAGGAAGGTATCTTCTTTTCTAGTGTAAACAAGTTCAAAGGCTCAAAGAGCTCCCCAGACATTCAAGCTGCACCTCTGGGAGCAGTGAGTTCAAAGTTCAAGGCCTTTAATGCTTCTTTGCTCCTCAAGCAACTTCAGAGAGTGGAGTTATTTTACAGGTTACCCAAGTTTACATGAAAGGATTTCAGCGAGACAAACAGCCCCTAAGAGCAGCTTCCAGATCTCAGTCTGCTGGGACTTCCACGCCTTTGGAACTTCTCTGGGGGTTTGGAATCAGCAGGGAAATGCTGTTCAAATACACCGTTCAGTTTTGATACCAGCTCCTCCAGAATTGAGATGAAAACTGCCTCACTGAACACCGTGACCTGCCCTTGCAGCTCCATCCTTGGCTGAGCCTGCAGGTCATCAGACAAAGAGTGAAAATTTGGCCTCAGCCAGGTTTCTTTGGGATTGATTTTGGGTTATTTGTAGGGGTTTGGTTTTTGTCATTTGTTTTTGTGGGGTTTCCTGTCTTTTTTGGGGTTTTTTTTTGTTTTTAAGTGGAAGATCTATGAGGAATTCAAGTGCTCCTGAACTGAACGTGCAGCTCAGTCTTTGTGTTTCCCTCTGACCAGGCTGCAAACCTGCATCCCCACGAGTGCTGACGGGGTCATTTTGCCAGCATGAGTCAGCAGGGTTCAAGGACTGGGTGCAGAGTGACTCAGCAGTGCCAGCCTGTGACAAGGCACCTAAATAAAAGCAACCTGGCTTTCAAAGGCAGCCAGTGCTCGTGACTCTGCCTGGTGTCAGCACTCAGGGGCTCGCTCTGCTCAGCTGACAGTGGCACCAGCTTTAGCTTCCCCCTCCTGTGGTTTTTTTTTCAGTGGAAAGTGAATAATGATCCACCTATTATACGTGGTCCAAAAGGGATCCCACTGGAAGCTGCACCCCTATCAGCCACAATGGGTAGCTGTGGTTGTGCAGAATGAAAAAAAGACAGTTTCTGCTTTAAAAAGACTAGAAATACATCACAATAACTTTATCTCTTGTTTTGGTTAGGGTTCTTTCAGCTGTTGTTGACAAAAAGAACTGAAGCAGAAAACGACTTGAAAGCAAACTGAATACCTGGCAATCTCTTTCCTTCCCTATTTTTCAGCAAAGGAAGAGCAATTGGAGACCTCAAAGAGGAGGTGAGAGGCATTAAATCTGATCCATCTCTATTTTTTTAAACCAACTTGATACAAAATATTTCAACTAAAAGAAAGGTTGAGCATTTCCATTTTCTTAAAGACCTGTCATTTTTCTGGATGGCAAAAAAGAAGGGAAAAAAAAAAACCTTGTCATGTTTAGGCAATTTTTTTCCTGTAAAGACTTGAAGGACCTTTGTGGACGATAGGATAACACTATGACATTATCCAAATTTTGACCTTTAAAGGTTCCTTCCAGCTCAAACCATTCTCTGATTTTAAAGGAGTTACCCTTATTCTCAGTGAAACTAAAAGGGTGAAGAGAAATCACATCTCAAACAAACAAAAGTACATTACCCTGCTGCTCTGATGTTCAAAGTCCAGGATGATTTTCCTGCCTTCTTGCTGGTTGGCTGTTAATGCTTCCTGAAGGCTTGTGTGGAAATCAGAGACTTCAGCTTCTCGTTTTTCATGCTCTTTCAGACCAAAGTTAAACAGATTCTCACAAACTGAGACAAACTCCTGCCTGTACGTGACACCAGAGTCAAGGTATCTGGCTCGTTCAGTGGAGCAACATTCTATGTTCCTTCTCCCTCTGCAAATCTGAGCAACAAGATTTACAAGTCACTGGTATGTAAACTCGATGGTTCTTGCTGGGAGCAGGCTGCCAAATATTCCATCTGCAGCAGCACGGGGTCACCATCCACATTTTATATCTAGGATTTTGCTGCCTTAAGGGCACGGAGAAAACTGTGGCAACTTGAAGGGGAAAAAGGCCTTGAGGGAAAAAAAAAAAGGAAGCGTACAGCCCTATCTATCTTCACAAGTGTGAACACAGAGCCTGGGTGGTTAATAAATCCAGCTCTGGAGCCTACAGCCAGAGCCCAGAATAAACTACTGACTTGGTAGCATCACAAAAATAACGTCGATTTTTCTTCTGCTATTATCTCAGCACTGGAATTGTTTCTAGAGTCTGTTGTAGTTAAGCTGTGATGCATTTTTTTTCCCCCAACAGTGTAATGCAATTTTAAGGAAGGTCAAGTTGCTGGCCTTGACAATGCTCTATTAATCTGAATGAGAAAAGAAAAAAAGGGGGAGAAAAAGTGCCTGCTTTCTGATCCCCTGTGTAGGAGTGATGATCAGAAAAAAAAAGTGCTGGCCTGAAAACTTCCCTTTGCCAGCTCTGGCAGGTTGGGAGATACACGACTCGTATCACTCTGATTAGTCTGCTCCTATCTCCTACCACTTCAATTTCAACATGATTTTAGCCACTGCGCTCTTACAATCTAACTGGCAGAGATTTATCTTATAGCTCATTTTAAACTTTAAGTGGATTCCAGACTTAAAGGAAGTACAAAGCCTTGATTCTTGAAGGGTCAGAAAAGAAGGTTACTGAAATGGTGTTTGATTCAAGTGGAGGAAAAGGAACGTGGTAATTACAACGGTGAGAATTTAAAGAGCTGGAATCTCATGACCTGTTGGTGATAGAAATGAGTGGTTTCACAAATGGGAAGTTTCAAGCTGGGTTGGCCAGCTTGCCAGTAATATAAATCATTTGTTTGTAGCCCTCATATTTCAGTAGACATCAAGCCTTAAAGCTGTCAGTGGTCTCACAGTCTTGAAGGGGTTGGTTTTTTTTTTGGTACCATTCTAAAATTGAACACAGATTGTCTCAGATCTTAGATCAATGTGGCTTTCAGGCCTGGACAAAAAGCAATGGATGAAGATTCCCTGTGGATGCACCTCCTTCTTAACTCAAGGTGTTATTTCTAAGCCCAGGAAGGATATGCCTGCAGCAGGTCACCCACTCCAGGGAGGTAAGCCAGTTTGGCAGCTTCTGGATCCTCAGCATACATACTGTCAAACAGGAATGATCCATTCAGGTGCTCAACAAAGGCTGTCTGTGAAGAGAATCAGAGCAATCTAAGTAAAATACAGCCTGCCAACCTGCTGCCAGTCCTCAGGTTGTGTCTCTCCTGTAAGCACCTTAGGAGCAGAGGAACATTGGTGCAGATACAGCAGGCACACCACAGATACACCAACCAAGACAAGGCAGCACCCTGCAACTGGACTGAAATCATCCTGGTGGCTTTGCTGCTGGAATTTAGAGAATTCTCTAGGATTTAGAATTAGAACTCCAGCCTAAGGATAGAAAACACTGTTTAATCTTACAGAAGACATTATCACATACAACCATGTACTGCAGGGGTATGAAGCCTTTCAGATAAGGAGTCAGTGGGCTTTGAGGAGGGATGGAGGGCAAAGTGCTGCTGTCCTCACTGTCACTTAAGTGCCTCCTGCTCTGCAGCTGATCTGATCATCCAGAGGTCTGGAATACAGAGCCAGACCAGAACTGAAAGCCCCCTTCTGCCTCGTCTGATTTCCAGTCTGTTCACAGGACTCCAGCGATCTCTGAAAGCCCTGAAGAGTTTAATCATAAAACTAATGAAAAGCATTAACTTTCTGTGAAGGAGAAAAAAGTCAGTGCACCATGAAAATGCTAACAGCTCCCTCAGACCTGTAATTTCCTTAATCTCATGCCAGGCTGACAAGATCCTTGGGTATGATGTACTGTGTAGCTTTGCAGGGTCTATATCTGTAGCTGCATTGTTTAGCCAAAAGAATTATGTTCCCCTGTGTCATGTGTATTCCACAGCAGTTCCTGTTTTCATTTGAAAGACAAGACTCAGAGATCACAGAGATTAATCCCAGCCTTAGTTTTAGCACAGTCGACATTAACCTCTCAGTAAATCTTCAAGCAGGTAAAAGAGAAGTCAATATGTATTGTGCTTCTTTCTCCTGAGACAACACACAACCAGCCACAAAAAATGCACCTTGTGGTACTCCAGCTCCTTCTGCTTCGCCTGCTTTTCCTCCAGCTGAGCCAGGGCTTGAGCCTCCTCACTTTCCAAGGGCTCAATAAGATCTTGATACTTTAAAACTGCAGCTTCTCGCTGAGAAATCAAACAAAGAAAATACTTTTATTAGATTATCCAGCATCACTCAACAAATCTGGGCACGAGCATTTGATCTTTCTAGAGCATGCACCCGAGTGCCATCTGCATCTCCATTTCTTTGTGGGCTTTTTATTAAACACCTCATGAAGTATCTAATCCATTCCTCATCCCATTTTTTGTTGGCACGTTACTCCGACTCTGCATTCAATGCATCTGAGCTGACTCAGCCCCAGGATACTTTTCTCTCCCTATTTCCTCACTTTTAGAGTTGTTTTTAAATTTTTTTAGCAGGAGGCCTTGTTTCAACTTCTAGAATTTGAGCTCTGATTTGACCAGCTAGTGAGTTTAATGCATTTAGTAGGGAGGAGAAGGCTCCTCAGAGGAGCAGATGGCAAGGTAGCAGGCAAGGCAAGCAGTGCCAAGGAGCAAGAACCTAATTAGCTTTAGCTTTAAATTGAAGCTTGACAAATTTAAGTCTGCAATTCTATGACGTATTGTTTGTATGAACAGGGACTGGGCTCAACAAGCTGGAAAACCCTTCCAGTCCTGTGGTAAGAGTGATGTGTGTTCCAAGTACAGCTCCTGCTCTGTGCCAAGCAAATTTACAATTCATCATGTTCTTTGGTTACTAAAAAATAAACAAAACAACAAACAAAACCCCCTTCCTTGTTCCTTGGAGTGCTGGGATCAAAAACCAGCCCCGTGGGTTATTGGTGTGGATGCTCTGTCCTGTTCTCTGAAATCAAGAGTGGATGGCCCCTGCTTGTGTGGGAAGTCTGTCTGTCTGCCACTGCTCAGGACCACCCAAGCCTCCTCTCCCCTGGCTCCATGTCTCATGACTGATCTCCTCTGAGGTTTCCTGATCTCTCAGAAGGCTCACTGCCTTCTCACTCACACTGCTGCCTCTCTGTGGCAACATTCACCAGGCCCCTCTCCCCCACGCAGCTGCTGATTTTCACAAGATCTGGGAAGACATCACGCTTCCGACACCTCTACCTCCCTGTCAGATTTGACAGAATTTGGCCTCCAGGTTCACAGCTGTTAGGTGGAAGCAGAATAAACACGGCGTGTTTCTGCAAGCCTCGTTTCTGCAGGGTGCCTGCCCTGAATGCTTGAGTATTGCTGGCACACCAACCCCACGAAGGCTCTGCAAGGTGCTGCAAGCAGGGGATGCACAAACGCTCACCGTGGTGTCACTCACGAGCTCGAAGTCCAAGTACATCAGGTCTGGGAGAGAGGCAACCACAAAGAGGGGGTACTGCTCGTCCTGGCAGAGAGGGTTCCCCGTGAGGCTCAGCGTGCGCAGGTTCTTCAGCTTCCTGAGGTAGATCATCTGTGTCAAAGGGAAAGAAAAAAGAAAGAGGTGCTGGGGAGACACACAGCCTCCAAATTCCTCCCCTCTTATCACCATTATGTAGCTTGTATTAAACGATGAGTTGGTGATGCTTTTGGGAAAGGAAAACCCTAAAATTCCCCGGGTGGATATAGAAACGATGGGTGGAGAGAGATGGTGGATGGGGGTGGGCAATCAGGGGTCTTAGATTGGTAAAGTGCCTTCAAAAGGACCCCAAATAAATCCTCGTCTCCCCTCCCTTTTTTTCTTATATGTAGCTATTTAATCCTTTCCTAGTTTTCATGGGAAGCAATAGGAATTTTGCCATGGCTGAGAGGAGTAACAGAGCCAGGCCCCTGTGAGTCAATGATCTAAAAGAGAAATCACTGTAGTGAGCACTTAACACCAAAACTCAGACTACAGAGACAGTGAAATCCCAAGGAGAATTTTCTCCTCTAAGAAGGGGCTCGAACACAGTGGCAAATATCAATTTTAGAATATTTGATGCTTTGACAAGGAACATTTACACAGACAGGCAGCACTCACATCTTCCAGACTGGCCAGATTATTCTTCCCTATGGAGAGAATCTGCAGCTCCTGCAACGTGTCCATGTGCTCAATTTTAGATATTCTGTTATTGTAGAGACTGAGGTCCTGCAGTTTGACAAGGGTATCCAGGCCCTCGATTACTTCAATATTGTTGAAGGATAAGTCTGGGGAAGAGTTTAGAAATCCAAAGTTTTACAAGGAAAAGTTAAATTATTATCTCCAGCAGACTGCCCTGATTCAGCCCTTGGATTTCGCCTGGTTCTGGATTTAGGAGTTTTTGTAGAGTATTTTCCTTGGTGGTGTTCAGTGCCCCACAGGACAGGCTCAGCATTAAATCATCCTTTGTTCTCATCTCCTCCTTGCAACTGTCCAGGCAACTTTTGAATGAGAGGAACAGTTGAAGGCATTCCACGTGGAGTCCCTATACACAACCTGAAAGTGATTTCTAGCTTAGGATGAAACCCAAAATACAAGAACAGTGGAAAAGCCCCAAAAGGGGGGTATTTCTGTGACAAATTTGACACTCCCTGCCTTGTTTCTTGCAGGCTCCTGCCTGCCCATTGTCGTGGTCACTCCCCTAGGACCAGCATGGGCCAGTCCCACCTTCACAACTGCTGTGTGGTCACTGGAGGTATGCAAAGGCATAAGTTCACTTCAGCTATCTCACTCATTGCTATTCCCTCATATCCTGCCAGAACATCTATCCTGACACCTCCATTCCTCATGACTAAGGGCAGTGTTTTCCCTCAGGCCAGGACAGAGTGATTCAGGAGTCCAAAGAGGGCAGATGAGGTTCCCAGCTGTCTGCACCACCCCAGCCCCTGCACTGAGACACTCAGCCAAGCAGCACCTTTGGGCAAACGAAACCCATGAGTGTGCTTCAAAACACTCTGCTTACATTGTGGTGATGAGCTGTTGATTCACAAGTGCATTAGTCATCTGTGAGGCAGAACAGTGCAGACAACTGGGCGGAAGGACCCATTAGACATTTCAAGATGTGCTGATGAACTGAAGCCCTGCATGCTATTTTGAAAGATGGCTGAGGATATATTTACCCTGCCAGGCTGCAATGTGCCTGCAGCTTCCAGAGAATGCTCTGAGCTGTGAATCTGATCAGCATCAAAACCTGCACCACTTCCTGATGCTGCTGTTGGCATCCTGAGATTTTAGTTGAAGGCAGCCAGATAAGACTACAAGGACTGCAGTCCTTCCTGGGACTGGGGCTGGTGGATGAAAAGCTGGGCATGAGCTGGCAGGGTGTGCTCACAGCCTAGAAGACAATGGATCCTGGGCTGCCCCCCCAGCAGGGTGGGCACAGGGCAGGGAGGGGATCCTGCCCCTCTGCCCCACTCTGGGGAGACCCCCCTGCAGTGCTGGGGCAGCTCTGGAGTCCTCAGCACAGCAGAGCCAGGGACCTGCTGGAGCGGGGCCAGAGGAGCCCCAGCAATGCCCCGAGGGGGGAACCCCTCTGCTGGGAGCCCAGCAGGAGAGAGTTGGGCTGGGGCAGCCTGAGAGGAGAAGGCTCCAGCTGGGGAGACCTGCTGGGGGCTGCCAGGACTGCCAGGGGCCTGCCAGAAAGATGGGGATGGACTATTGAGCAGGACCTGCTGTGATAGGACAAGAGGTGATGGTTTGGAACTAAAAGAGGGAGATTAAGACTAGAGAAAAGGAAGAAATGTTTGACCCTGAGGGTGGTGAGCCCCTGGCCCAGGCTGCCCAGAGAGGTGGTCACTGCCCCATCCCTGGAACCATCCCAGGGGAGGTTGGAGGTGTCTCTGAGCACCCTGCTCTAGCTGCAGATGTCCCTGCTCCCTGCAGGGGGTTGGACTGGGTGACCTTTAAAGGCCTCTTCTAACCCCAACTAGTCTAGAATTCTATGGGAAAACAATGACAACAAGCCCTTAAGCATACTGAGGTAAAGACTGTGGGTTCTAGGCTCTGACATGCCTGCATTAGCTTTAAAAACAGAATGCAGGCTTCTAAATCACAGAGATGTTTCCATAAATATTTCTGAAAGTCACCTCCAAACACAAGCACAAACCCTGGAAGCAGCCTTGACATCTCAGCTTCCTGTTCCTGCCACACTAAATGTATCAAAACCAGGTTTTCAACATTTGAAGGATTGTTTTGCAGCTCTGCTGTTCAGGCATTTTGACATTTGACAGTCAAATGAGGAAACACACAGAGAGGTGACAGCCTTCCTGGGAAAGCTCCTATCAGTCCTGTTTGGGAAGGAATGCAACATCCTGGCTTTGTCACAGGTTTCTTTGCCCCTCTGAAGGCATTTGACCCCATATGCCAGTCTCTTACCAAGCCATACAAGGTGAACCAGACTCTCCAGACCTTCTATCTTCTCAATGATGTTGTTGTCCAGCTGCAGTTTAGTCAGATTCTCCAACTGCCACAGATTATCGACCTGCAGGATATCTAAAGCCACAAGGAAGGAAAAAAAAAGAGAAAAGTAAATTGCTTTTCATGTGAGACAGCTTTCAGTTTAGCAGCCATGCTGTCTTGCAGCAGGAAAACATGCCCAGTGCTACCTCCAAAATGATTTCCAGCAGATTCTGGTCGCGTGGCCTGACTGCCCTGGAGAGCTGAGAGGTCCACTGGCTGGGTGAGAGTTGAATGCATCAGCCCAGTTAACCCCAGTGTCCTGCACCAGTGCACACTGCTCAGCAGCCATGCCAAGGACTCACCCAGGGGATGCTGTCTGTGGCCCTGCAGTCACGAGGGGCTTTAGGAATCCACTCCTGGGAGGCCTTGACCTTCATCTTCCTCTCCAGGAGGAACAGGAGGTTTGGGAGGGGGCTCTGCTTTCCTCTGCCTTTGCAGGCTAGCAGTGGCCAGCTCCTGCTTTTCTAAATACTTGGCTGCTCCTGGGATTCTCGTCACAGGAGAGCAAGTTGGGGTCTGCTCTCTCTGTGAAGGCTGCAGTTTAGAGCTAATCAATACCCCTGCGTTTAGCTCTCTCCAAAAACAGAATCACAAGGGCAGGGCGTTAGGCAAAACAGCAAAACATGAGGACCAAGGTGACAGCAAATGCAGAACGTTCTCCCTCCCAGTTCTCTTTCCCCCAGCAATGGCTTCCCAGAGGATTTCCTCAGCAGCTCTGCTGCTATCCTCATTTAGGGAGTGCAGGCTAAAGGAAGGCATCTGCATGCATGAAATATTCATGCTGTTCTATATTTTGTGTTTGCAACCATGTGCATGGAGGATGAGGAAACAGGGATTCTGCTTGAAGGAACTCAGCTAATACACATTATTTTACTGGAGCACACAATAAATAATCAACACATTTTGCCCATGAAATTACATACCCCCAAAAATAACTATCGAGCCAAATGTTCTTCCTTTTCATTCTTTTTTTTTTTTAATACAAGTTTATGACTGGTTGGACAGGAAGAGGCAAGCTGTGATAATGCTATGGGTGACCAGAGGAAGCCACCAAATTGGCCTGTAATCACCATAATCTCCCAAATCGCCCTCACACCATCAGCAGCCCTGGCAGAGCCTGCCCAGGGTTGGATTTGGCCACGGAGAGAAGGGCCCAACAGGCCTGTGGCCTGTAGGTGTCACCACAATATAAATGTTAAATAAGAACAGCAGTGACAATAACAGCGTCAAGGGGAGCAGCTTTAAAGTTACCCATCAGCAAAAGCAGCCAGGGCTGGCTAACGAAACTGCTGCACAGAGGTAGGATTGAAAATGGAAGTCCAGATGTTGCTGCTCGCAGAGCAAATCCAAGCTAATCACGACTGTTTAATTGCCAGTGAGACACTTCATGCTTGATTCTATTACCCTCTAAAAAAAAGGAGATAAAAAAAGCATATCTTCTGATACTCACTCCTAAAACTAAGCTGTAGCTCTGTCACATCCTTAAAGTTAATACCTTCCATCTTGAGAAGCATCCCTATGTCCTCTGGGCACTGCTCTTCAATGGCTTTCTGAACCAGTTCATCATCAATAAGGTTTGGCTCCACTCTGCTGTGTGACTGACTCATTGTGAGATGCTCTCAGCCTTAAAGGACAGGAAAGAAAAATAAATAAACTCGCTGCCTGGCTGCTATTTTCTGTTCACTGAACAGGCCTGACAATGCCAAGGAATAAAGAGCAGGGCTGAGCATGAAGAAGATCCAATACTTCACAGCTGACATCAAAGACAGGCTTGACCTTTATCACAGAGTCACTGGTGCGACTCTAAGCAGAGCCTTACAGCCCCAGGCACAATCCCGTGCAAACCTCACACCACCTTTCAGGGTTTGCCATGAAGAATGCCAGAATTTGGCCAGATAAACAGACAAGGAAAGGAGCAGCTCCTCTGAACAGCAGTGGTCTGTGGCATGGCAGCGAGCTGCTGGTGAAACACATCCTTCTGAAGAGGACACAGCCAAAGCTCTGTGTGCCATTTCATCAGGTTTTAAAAGGTAAGTTTCTCATCATAGGCAACTTTGACTTTTAATACAAGCCTCTTATTTATATACAAGTAAGAGGCTTGTATTTATAGCATAAAAAAATTAACAGCTAAAATTCAAACACCAAAAGCGTAACGAAAGTGAGAAGAAATTGGAGAAAAGAGGAAAATTTATAGGCAATAACAACAATTTTCTGAAGAAGGCACTTAATGCAGATCCATAGTCTAGTTCAGTCCACGTACAGCACTGTACACAAACCTCTGCTTTGGGAAACAGACAATTTGATCAGTCAAGGCTTTCTGTCCTGGCTTTGCCATTTCAAACCCCCAAATGTTGCCTGGGAGGCAGGGAGAATGTTTATCTTTCTAGAACTGTGCACGGTTCATGAGTCAGTATGAAGGACTTGAATTGTCAAGATATTGCTTGTGTAAGATGTCTATAATTATGGAAGAAGTTCTGCTGACTTTTTGCATAGAAAGACAGGAAGGGTAAACATCTGGGTTTAGAGAGCTTTCTCCTCATCATGGATTTTAACAAACCAAACCTCTTTATGGCCATGCTCAGTAAAAAACAAGGAGTAGCAGGTTCTGGGTTTATTCATCCTTCATAGAATCACAGACTGGTTTGGGTGGGAAGGGACCTTTCAAGGTCATCTGGTCCAACCCCCCTGCAGGGAGCAGGGACATCTGCAGCTAGAGCAGGGTGCTCAGAGACACCTCCAACCTCCCCTGGGATGGTTCCAGGGATGAGGCAGTGACCACCTCTCTGGGCAGCCTGGGCCAGGGGCTCACCACCATCAGCATCAAAAATTCCTTCCTTCTCTCTAGTCTAAATCTCCCTCTTTTATATTAAAACCATCCCCCCTTGTTCTGTGACAACAGGCCCTGCTCAAAAGTCCATCCCCATCTTTCTGGCAGGCCCCTGGCAGTCCTGGCAGCCCCCAGCAGGTCTCCCCAGCTGGAGCCTTCTCCTCTCAGGCTGCCCCAGCCCAACTCCCTCCTGCGGGGCTCCCAGCAGAGGGGTTCCCCCCCATGGCCTCCTTGGCCTCGCTCTAACAAGTCCCTGTCTCTCCTTAACCTGCCAGACTTCCCACTTCCTGGTATTTGTCCATCGTCTCCTTAGTCAGTGCCGGTTCCACGGAGCTCGCCGCCCAGGGGGTATCAGGGCGAGCAGCGGGTGGGACCCCGGACAAGCAGCCCGGAGCCAGGCGGGGGGCCCAGGCCTGGGGAGCAT